CAGCTGGGAGTGAAACAGACACATGTACATCAATGTTCATAGCAGCATTATTCACAATAACAAAAAGGTAGTGGAAACAACCCAAATTTGCATCAAGAGATTAAGGGATAAACAAAAGGTGGTATATACATAAAATGGAATGTCATTCAGCACTAACAAGCGATGACATTCAGATATGTCCCGTAACCTGGATTAACCTTGAAAATATTTTGCTAAGTGAAATAAGCCAGATAGAAAAGGACAAATCTATGATTCCACTTACATGAAGTACCTAGAACAGGGAAACGCATAGATACAAAAAGTAGATCACAGATTACTGGGGCTGGAGTGAAGGAGGAAAGGGGACTTACTGTTTAATGGGAACAGAGTTTCTGCTTAGGATGTTGAAAATTTCTGGAAATGTATAGTGGTGACTGTTTCACCACATTGTGAATGTACTTGATGCCACTGAATTGTAACCTTAAAGATTGTTAAAATGGTAAGTTTTATGTTATGTACACTTTACCACAATCAAAAATAAGTACTAACACAAGGTGATCGCCCCATGTAGAGCCTTGGGATTCGATGAAATGGCTCAAGGAAAAGGATAAAATGTGTGGTCCCAAAGGCTGATAGAGTGGAGAAACCTAAACTTGAGTGGGGAGATAGAACCATGGGAGCAAGCAAGGAAACAGCAGACTTCAAACTTGTGTTTTGAAAGAATTGTGGGTGGTTGACTGTGTTTGGACAATGAGTTATGAGTTGAAGGGACACGAGTCACCTTTGGGCCAATCACTGAACTGCAGGGGCGAGACTTTCCAGTTCCATTTCACTGCCTCAGTGACTAGCCAGTCTCTGGACACACAGAGAAATAGAAAAGCATTCCTTCTTATTTGAGGTGTCCTAAAAAACAGTCATAGATTCTGGTGGCAGGGACATAAATCAGGGGAGAAGGCTGTTGTGACACCACAAATAAATCCTGTGCTCTATTCTATTTCTTAGCTACTCCTCAGGGAGAATATTTGTGTTCACCTTTGCAGAGGGTGATCTGGCAAATCCCATCCACTTAGCACTGCTTGTAACCAAACCTGCCTCCTAAGGACAGCACATGCTACTACAGGGCAGGTCCTTTGGTGTGCCCAGAGCATCAGGTGGTTTGGGTTTGTAAGTCTGGAGAAGAAGATGGGAACTGCTAAGACAAAAATGGGGAGAAATATGGATGAATATTGGAGGGACAAATGGAAGGAATAGAGGAGGGAGGAGAGAAGAGGGAGCAGAGGGTCGAGATCCATCTGCCATCTGTGTATCTATAATTCTCATATTTATTTCTCTGGCCCAGACCTTTCCCCAGAACTCTGGACTTGTATGTCTACTGCCCGCTGGACATGTTCCTTGGATGGAAATAAACATCTACAGTTAACATGACCAAAGTGAACTCCTGAATTTCCCCCACAGCCCTCTGTGTCTCAGCTGAGGCACCACTACTCTTCCAGATGCTCAAGCCCCAAACCTTTAGAGACTTTCTCTCTCACCCCAATCCTGTGCATTAGGAAATCCTGTTAGCTCCACTCCAGCATGCATCCAAAATCTGGCCTCTTTCCCCTGCCTCTACCAGCTACTGTCCTGGTGGAAACCGCTTCTTCTTGTTCGCTGGAAGGCAGTGACCTCTTACATGCTCTAGTTTCCTCTATCTATGTCCTGATATAGTCTGTTCACAACCAATGCTAGAATAATTTAAAACTCATGTCAGATCATGTCACTTCTCTCTTCAAAACCTCGCAATGGCAGCCATGTCACTCAGAGCAAAAGCCCAAATCCTTGAGCACAGCAGGAGGATCCTACTCTCAGGGCCTCTGGACATGCTGTTCTGTATCAGGAAGGCTCCTCCCCCAGATCACCACGTGGCTCACTTCTGCACCTTC